AGCCTCTTCAATCAGTGAGACTGCTGCCAAGACACAGTGGTGACACCAATGTGGAGGTCTCTGGCAAACTTTAAATAAAAGTCAGTGTCTTTCAGCATAAAAATAAATTTCCAGAAGAGGTCAGCCAATCAAAACCAAACATGACAGAGAACTTTCTCACATGAATTGTGCAGTTCAACATTTTGCCTCATGGCTGAGACAAAGCACTCCCACACCAATGAAGCCCCTTGAGTTTTATTTACACAGTGCCCAGTCAAAGAGCAGCACTCACACACATCTGCTAGCTGCCCACAACTATCAGCTGTGGAGCTCATCTACTGGAGAACCATCAGTCTTCCAATCAAATCATGCTTTCCCAATCTTCAGGATGCAGCCGCCAGCTTCTCGCCATATCCCCAGCTGGTCCCAACCTGGCCCTGCCCAGCCAATACTAACCCAACTCTCTGTCAAAGCAGGGTCAAGGGTTCTCTGGGGTTTTGTGGGGTTGGATGGGGGCAGCCTGTCAACTTGATTGACAGCTGGGCCTCACGCTTATATACTTTAATGGCTCTTGTCCGTGTACTGCAGGGGCCCCCACCTGGCAGGTATGGCACATATGCACACAAATGCACACACACACATACTTGTATGTGCACTATATACAGGCATACATTTGGCTTCCACATCATCCATAATAATATTTCTGTTTATTTGAGTTTGTAGTCCTGGTAATGCCCAGACTTCTCCATCTCCATAACATCAGATGTGCTGCAGGCTCAGAGAGAGATATTTTGCTGTCACTGTGTCGACTGATTTCTAAGAAGTCTATTTCTCTGTGGGACGCAGACATCCATTTACGAGGTCCTAGACAACAAAGCTGAGACACCGTAGAAAGCCATGAAAAATGTGCCCCAGTAAAAACATTCCTGACACCTAAACAGTGGAAAGAGCAGGAATTCCACTGGTTCAGCAAACAAAGACTGAACAAGGAATCCATTGTTTACTGTTGTGTCCATGTGTAAATGTTGGCGGCCACTAGAACCGGTTGATTATGTTATGCTAACTGAACAAGGTAATGATGTGTATTGTGCAAAGCAGGTGACCTTTTCAGAAAGGGGTGTAGGTTTGCCTTGTTGGGGGTGGTGGTGGTGGTGAAAAGTAAGGCCCAAGGGAGGACAGGTGAAGCCGAGCGTCTTACTGTAAGAGCGTAAACACACCGAATAACCTCACAGAAAGCTGGTAACAATTAGCATATTAGCCTGTTGTTTATCAAATAATTGCTAACAACCATGGTTCGAGCTGGGCCAACATCTGTTTGTGAGCAATCATCAATTAGTCCCAAGTTCAGAGTTGACTAGTGTAGTCGCCGATGCATCATTCATGAGCTATTTAACTAGACAGACTTCACGATTACGCACTACAGTGGTGGGGGTGAATGAAAAAGCCAGTCAAGTCCATTCAGCAATTGTCATCCCCCTTTTTCTCAACTAATTTGAGCTACTTTCAAAGGAAACCTAAAGCTTGTGATGGCAAAGCTTGTCTTAAACTGCCAATAAAAGCATAAACCTATTTCCTTACACTAACAAGCAGTAAAACACTGAAGTACAAGCTACACAGGAGGTGTAGAGGGCAAAGTTTTGGATGTTTTGGCTCTGATGTGGAAGCTCTCTTTTTAGACTGCCACACAATAAAAGTTCTGCGTAAACTGGGATATTATTATATTATAGTGACATTTTGAGTTTCTAGACTTCGAGACACTACAAACCCTCAGGCAGTTTGAAGCACCACAAGACAAAAGCACAGCTGACTGGCTCATGCAGCTGCAGTTCCATGCCTGAACCACCACATTCACACACTGCCAGCACACACATGTTCAAACTAAAATATATCCACTCATTGGATACATTCAAACTAATCCAAAGTTACTCCGACTATTGGTCTGGCCTTAAGATTTCTTAAGGCCGTTTCAAGACTGTGTTGATAAAAAACAAAAACCTAATGGCCTTTTTTCTCTCTAGCCCAGTCCCTCAGTGATGTTTTCCAGCTACATACCACGTCCATTACAGAGACCTTTGCTGAGATTACGATAAAAACACTAGCTTCCTGTTGTTTTGATCTGATCGAGGACATTTTTGGCCTTTTTTTTCTCTGCTATGACTTATCAAAGTTACACGCAACTGAATGACCTGCCTTTGTTCAAACAGCTGACATCATTTGCTGCCAAAGAGCCAGCTGATATAAATCATGACAACTCTAGATCTACAGTGCTGTTCATCACTTTATCAAAGCCAACTTTTGCTAATGCAGCATTCTGTGCAAGTCTTTCTATCAGGTGGCTGTCGTGATACCTGTTTGCCCCCAAGATTCCCCCAACAAGGTCAAATCTCATAGCTGTGGCTTGTTTACTGGATAGGTTTCATTGTTAAAGTTCAATATGAGGCATGTTTCATTCTAGAAATGTAACTCTGAACATGAAATAAAATAACCTCTATAAAATATAAAACCATGCACATCAGAAAAACCCCTGCATATGATTAATCTTTATTCTAAACATTTCCTGATGTCCACAGGTACAACACTCTGTACAGCTGCCCTATAACAATAATTTCCTCCCTCCTTACTTCAAATGATCACTCAATTTCCCTTTAGGTTCTGATCCCTAGTCCCAGGCTGACCCTAGTGGAAGAGCTGTGAGGGTAACTGTTTTCAGATGTGCACCAGTGACAGGGCCACGGGGTGAGAGGGGTGTCCTGCAGGACTAAGGCAATTGTCGCTCCCTGTCTCCTGCCTATTTTCACATTTCCAGCTCCCTGCAGCACCCATCCAGTGACCTCCCCCAAACCCCTGCTGAGACTGCCGCTCTGCAGGCTGCTGAAACCTAAGAAGCAGGCCCCTGATCTAATTTATTATTTTTGCAGCAGGGTGGTACTGTGAGCAAATAGGGCGTCTTTCAAATCGGAAACCCAGAGTACAAACCTGCGTGACAGCAAAAAGCATCCACCCAGTTGAGGTGTCCTTGGATTTCTGAAACCGTACAAGTTGTAATGGCAGTATTATGTGGCTCTGAGTCATTGATGGGCACAGTGCACATAAACAGAGCTATTAGAATAAAACTCTAGTTTGTGCATCTCCCTTGTTACGCAAAAAAGACTGCAGCAGTGCTGTGAGGTTTTTTTTGACAGGTGTGGCACATAGCAGTGTTTTCCTCTTTAAAAGATACAATCCAGGATTAATACATTGGCCAGCCTGTTCCATATTGACCGAAGAGCCGGAACGAGGCGATCGGGGATGCACAGATACCGATTTTGGAATGGAATATATTGATTCAGAGGTCGATGTTTTAACTGTTAACTGATGTTTTACTGATAAACTACTTCTATTTTGTATAAATATAATAATAACTAAATTAGTTATGTCCGTTTGACCAAAATAATAGCTTTATTTTATCTGCACAACTTAAGTGTGAATGCTTAATTTTGTATTTATATAACATGACTTTACAAGCAACAATATTAGGCCATATTAAAACAAAGACCCAAGACTTGGGCCACTGGTTGCACTATATGTTTCACCAATACAGCATCCATTTTGGACCACATTAATCCGCCATATTCGGTCAAACAACTAGTCTCACTTTGTAGTATGTAATGTAAGATATCCAGAACTGCAGAACCGTATGCAATAGTGTAAGCTGTTCTGAATGTTCTCACTGGACAGAAGATAATGGTTTTAGCAGGTACAGCAGTCATTCCATGTTAACCAACACTCTGAGGCTGTTCATGTGTCAAGAACTGAAATAAATAAAATATAAGAAATAAATGAGGTTAAGGCAAGGTGTCACGCTTGATGAATATACTGTACATGTCATCTAGATACAAAAGGTTAAGGCAAGGTGTCACGCTTGATGTAAATATACATGTCATCTAGATACAACACACTACTGCAGAACAGAGCCAATGACACAAACTCAGCATGTTCAAATTCTCCTACAGAAACAAACAGTCGTACCCTCTTCTCTTCTCTTCCCCTAAAGCTTTATAATCTCCATTCAGCACCGCAGTTCAGAAGCTCTTTAACAGTGGAAGCGCTTCTATATAGTCGATGCATAATGTGCAGGGAGAAGACTAGACTAAGCAGCATATTAAAAAAGCACTCCAGCCCCCGGAAGAAACAGTGGGCGCTGTGAGGAGTTGCTGTGTGGATTGACTCGGTTCCAAAGCCTGACCCACACACTCCCACATTCGACTCTCTGCCTGGAAATCCTCTCCGTCTGACGTATTTGTGCGTGTGTGTGGTGTTGCCTTCCCAGTGACAGACAGCGTAAAAGAACACGGAGAGGATGTTTTTGACTCAGATGAAAGAGTACTGTTACCACGGATTTACAGACTTGTTCTGTACTGATTGTTGTTTGACTTATTATATGTGTTTAACAAACCTTATCATTATCTTGTACCTTTTTTGTTTTGTGGGGATTAAATTCATTCCTATTACTACCACTGGTCATGTGCTCATTCATGACACAATTTATGCAGCTGCATTCACATAATTTCATGCTGACAATGCAAATAAACCCGACTCTCTTCAGCTGCCTCATAGCCTGCATGTTAACGTCAGTGCAATTAAACATAAAAACTATACTAATGTTTCTACAAATAAAGCATCATTACACATTAGAATCCATGTGCTTGTCTTTACATTTGGCTGGAATCAATATGCTTTGGGCAAGAAAAACTAAAAGCTCAGACATGAATATCCCAATTTATTCATCCAGATACAGTATTTAAACACCAGCCATAGGTTTAGTCCACTACCTCAAAAGCATTTATTGAATCTTAGTGCTTTGCTGAAGGATATTTGGGTAATAATGTATGAGGATATTCTGATGGTTATTTATGCCTCCTCCTTCTGGCTCTCATCTTACCTCACCGCCAAGCAAAGCAGACACGCAGGCTTCGGAGGCATCACATATGGCTGTGAGGTCGTGACCCCCCTCCAGGGCAAGCACCAACCGGCCGCCTGCCAGAGCCATCAGCTGCCTGGTCAGGTAGCCAAAGCCTGTACACACAGGAAATGACAGCAAAGATAAGGCAGAGAAAGAAAGGCCAGGAGGGAGGGAGACAGGGCAAAAGAAGGAGAATGAGATGGAGGACCACTGATTTTCAAGCTCTGACTTCCTCTTTGGATATTCATCAAAGAAAAAAGAAAGAAAAGAGGGTTTGAGTGTGCACAAACAAAGGGGTGACTGCAGAGGGAGAGAGAAAGAGAGTGCATTGTGGCTTTACTGGGGGGCAGAAAACAAGCTATAATATGAGCCAGGTTTAATTTTAATAAATGTGGCTTTGAGTTTAAGCTTGGTCACAGCCTTTGATCGTTTTTCAGGAAGTGAGGGGTTTTAATATTTGCATTCATTCATACTTTCTTCTCCCCTAAAGCCTACCCCATCCCCTCTTTCTGTAATCCTTCTAAACCACCCATATCACACCCCTTTACAACTAAAACCCCTGCTATTATTTGAGATCTGCAGGATGGTTTTAGAAAAGCTCTTTCTCGGTACGCCAAGGTCTTGGCCTGAATACATATGATTAAGGCACAAAATACACACACCGCATGCCTTTGTGTGTCTACGCTGTGTCTGTCATTCTTTCTTACTTGTATTGCATTGTGCAGGTAGACAGCAATTATATAGCATGAGTGATGTGTGTGAGATGTGGAGGGTATGAATTCTAAAATGTGTATGCAAGCATACATGATCTTAAGTATGAAACTGATTTTAAAATGTCTCTCTACAAGACATAGTGTGGTTTAGGAAAACACTGGAGTAATTAACTGGATGTCTGTGGTGACTACTTACATTTGGCTGTCAGTTTGTATCCTCCCAGGGGCGGAGCATGTCCATCTACTGCATCAAAGCCTGAAGATACCAGAACCACGTCTGGGGCAAACTCATTGGCAATAGGCATAACCACCGTCCTGGAGTAACAACAGAAAATAAAACAATGACCTCAACAAAACGATGTATTTACAGTGAAGGCTGTATAAGAGAGGCTCCTATCTCTGACCAAGACCTGTGGCTTTATAAAGTATAGGGTACTTAAGTACATAAAGGCACGTTCATGTACCACATTTTTTGGTTTATACACAGAAAGGCCAGCTTAAAGATTCAACGTTTCACTCAAAAACACTAATGACTTGGAAAGCTTCATGATAGGTCAGGTCAAATGTCATAGGGGCTGGGGCAGAGTCTTTTTTTTTACTAACATTTAGTTATATCATTCTGAAGCAAGCCTATCAAATAGTCAAGTGAACAGCTTACAACCAAACATGAACTGCTTCAAAATAAGTTAAATATACATTCTGACATAAAAAAACACCCTGCCCAGAGTGATAAAGAGGTACCAACTAAAGTCACTGTAGTTATATAACTACAGTATCATGAACCAGTATTTCAACAAGGTTGCTAAAGCTACACTTACTTTAAAACATGAGTTCACACCATTTTCTTCTCTACCAAACATTATAATAATAATACCCTAATCCTAAAGTTTGGGAAATACCTGAAGAAAAAACTGTCAGAATGGAGCTTAACAGTATGAAAATATTTTATTGAGATATGCCTTTAGGGTGCTTACGGTCCTGATATTGGCTGTGATGCTACATGCTGTACTCAGCTGGAGATGCTGCATGTATTTGTTAATTCTTATATGAATTTCCTCTACCTTTCATGGTTTTCAAAACAAACATTTACATCATGGATCTGTATGTACAGTAGGTGTGTGGCAGAGAAAATTACCACATATACTTTCTGAAGTGAAATGTTTGGAAATTTGGTGGCAGCAATAAACTAAATGACCTTTAAATAAAAAGGAAAAACGGAAGGACAAACATAATTGCGTGTTAAGCATGAGGGATAATTCTAACACTGAATGGGTGTGGTGAATGAGGGCTGTTTGTGTACAACCTTGATCTAACACACAGCTGGCAGGGAGGGAGTGCTTGTGTGGACACTGTGTAATGATTCACTGCAAGCTGTGGCTGGAAAATCCAGCCTGGTTTAAACAGTAACCTATTTGACAATAATAAATAAAATAAAATAATACATGTGACAGTATGTGTAAGGTAGTTTTGCACATATTAAGAACAGAGTAGCTTAATTTATTATCTTTTTTATTTTTTGTGGACAAGGAAACAACTTTTTTTTAAATTAAACTAATATAATCAGTAATACTGAACTGCTGAACTTGTTATTGTACTAGTACTGGCACACTGCAAGCTTAGTCAACTTTGTATAAAATTATAATGTGTCATGGTGTTCTGGCTTACCATGATTTAAAATGTCTCATTTGGTTCATAAATAGTTGGACTTCCCAGATGCATAAACAAGTGGGTCTCTCTGATTTTGCTGTAGGACCTCAGGTTTGACACAGGAATTTTTTTTAGGGTCTGGATATTTGCCCAAACTGTGCTTTGGTGAGGATTCAGAGTGACAAAGTACCACAGGGTTCCATCATAGGTCCCCTGTACTTTGCAGACCTCAGGAACACGGTGCTGTTTACGGGCTGTGGATAAGCAGCGTGTCCTGAACTCCTGAGGCCACTGGGGTTTCCATCTCTTGTTCACCACCAAATTATAACCTGAACTGTGCACACCACACCCCCCACCACAACACATCACACGTACATACACACAGCTGTCTGAGGGAGAGGCGGGAGGTAGTATTTGGAACTTTCTGGTAGTCAACGACAACAAGGATACACAGACTGCATGTGTCACTGTGTGTTAGTGTGTATTTGGCAATGTTGCTAAAGCAAACGTCATCTACCAAAGATGAAGATGAATTGGAAAGCTAGAGAGCACAAGAAGATGAAAGAAGGCAAGAAAGGAAAACTCTAAAAAGGCATTGACTCAAAATGTATGAACAATGGATGAAAGCAGTGAAAAATATGATGACTAATGTGTATGTGTCATTGTTCCAACATTTCTTCACAGCAGACAGCAGGGGATTACCCAAACATGTCCATGAGAAGACCTTAAAAGATAATTAGATAATTATGTCATTATTATGGAAGTTATTATATTTTTCAGCTCCAGTTTTATATATATTTTTTGCACTGATACACATTTTCTCCCTCTTTCCCAGCATACTCAAAAACCTTCATAAACACAGCCTCGGCCCATTTACATTTGGGTCCTAAAAGACCCCACACTAAAGGAAGTTGGCCACAGTTGCTTATGCGGGCTGACACACGACGCAGAGGACACTTAAACCACCAAAGACTCCCCCGCCCGACTTCTTCCAGCTTCAAACATAGACAGAGACAGTCCTGTCATGATGATGAAAACTGTTGATGTCATCAGTTCCAACCCCCATCCCCCTGGAATAATAGCCTGACATTTTAATGAAGTAAGCACAAAGAGAAGCTAGTAGTTTTGAGGAAGGCTAATTAAGCATGAATCAGAGGCTACATATGTGGACATGAAAAACAGTTTTTGTTAATTAAGGAAGGGGAGAGTTTACGACTGAGCTGTACAAAACAGGACATCCTGAGCAAAGAGGTTGTGATCTAAACCACGGCTTGCCTGCTCATGGCTAGATCTTAATTAAAAAGGAATTATTTGGCTATGCATGCAGCAAAAACTTTTGTTTGATATTGCTTGATTTACCTAGCAACAGGTGTACGTATGCGTGAGGGAGTATGCGGGAATGCAGCAAGGGTCATGCTTCAAAAGTACTGGATGCTAAACTTCTCATCTCTCCACACCACCATAGCCCTGCTGACATCATTAGTCCTCCAGGGGACCCAACAGAGAGGAAACTCATTCCTGTGTGTAAAATTAGTGTTGCCTTCATTGGTGCTTGTGCAGTACACTGTAGGTATGTCAGTGGATAAGTACTGTATGTTTTATTACAAATTATAAACTACGTGTGTTGACAGAGCAGTAAAACGACTCATCTAACTGGATTGAATGCAAATTCCTATATGTGCCGCTTAGTACGGTTTATCCAACAGTGTGGGATGCAGAGTATCAGTGCATTTTATGTTGAAATTAAAAAATAATGCACTTGGAAGAGATACTGCTACAGCCTAGCTGAATGAGGACATCATTCTTATCCAACATGAAACCAACACAAACACAAAAAGGCTTTAAGTTGGAAAAACTGCCAAATGTGTAAGTGTGAATTCAGCACTCAGCAACCTCAAATGAAAAACTGATCAGGCCTTTGTGACAGGACACAATCTGCTAGCAGTTGCCAGAGCTAATTACCAACACTCATCAGATTCCACTGTTTCTAAAGGTATTAAAAATACCAAAACAAGATCCATTACCATTTGAGAAATTCAACCCCACCCATGCAGTAAAAGGCCAGGTGAGGCCTGAAGAAAATACAGATTCTGTCCTTTAGAGGGGGCACTGCTCATCAGACCAGTCAAGAAAAGGTTAAACTGCAGCCTCCCACCACCGTTCATAAAAAAGCAGAGAGAGAGAGAATAAGAGAGCGAAAAACTCACACACGCACACTTACACTTCAAAGCCCTGTCATCTGGCGCTGCAGAGAGCTGGTTTGAATTAAGTTTAATTCTCCTTTTCATTAGGGCCAATTTTCTTATCTTTTTTCTCTGTGCTTTCTGGAGACTCAGACTTGATCCCCTGCAAATGCAACGTGGCACAGGCCAGCAGAGAAATGCGAAGGTGCCGGCTGCAAGGCACGCATCCCCTCCCAAAGACAGAGATGGAGGAAGGAGAGGAGCACAACACACAGATAAACAATGACGCTGAAAGAGAGAGAGAGGGTAAGGCTGTGTGTGTCAGTTGTCCATCCACGTGTTTGTGTGCATGCAGTTCTACCTGTGTAAGCAAAATGATGTAAAAACTGCATGTGTGATCATTTGCACAGCTGTTTCACTGTGTTTTTCTGGATATTTGTGCATCCTCATGTATATGTGAGCCAGGCCCTTCTGCACTTCTATGAGCTTGTGTGCAGCATGTGGAAGACTTTATAACTTTGTGCATACAGTTGTGAAGCATGGTACTGTATATGCATATGTTTATGGCAGATTTATGAGCTTCGAGATAAGACTGTTGCTGTCTTGTTGGGCATTTAAATTGGCTAATTCTGCTACAGATTCAAGATGACACCAGGGTCTGAGGTGATACACTCCAAAACCTTTGTTGTCCTTAACTCTATATCTTTGTATCTTCAATAACACAAAGAACACTGATTCAATAATAACTACACAAACAGTGCACACTGACAGTGCAAGCATCTTCACATACACATCACTCGCATGCATGCACTCCTGAACAAACACACACATATGTACCAAAAGTATGTTAAAAAAAGATTTTTCTTTAAACTCAAGTACAGTGTATTACTAATCAAGTTAAATATTCAGTCATCATTCATTCATAGTGAAATGTAAATGAACAGCTCCAGTAACTCCCTTTATGAGTTTAGGCGTGCACAGCCTCACTAAACACTGTTTAGTAATGTCTTCTGCTGCCCTGGCTTTCAACAGGTTGAAAAAATAAACCTGATGACATCATCAAGGTTGTTTTATTCAACCTTTTCAATTTGAGCTTGAGACTCAAACATTTTAACCTGAAATTCTACATATAAAGTAGAGGTATGTTGTGTAAAACATGGCAGTTAGGAGGGAGTAAGAAAGATGTTATTGAGGTGCATCATGGCAAGTGCAGGATTCAGTGTTTTCTGTAGTGTGATCAAGAGGCTGAAAAGAGAAAATATCTGAGCCTCTGTGGCACTCTTTCTTGTGTACAAAAAAAGAACATGAAGAGGGGATAAAAGAATAAAAAGTGGAGAGAGTGAGAGTACGGGGGTCTGGGATGCATTATCGGACTAAGGTGTGCTTCCGGGAGATTGCGTGCTGAAAGCTATGAGAAGACAGTGGCCTGTCAGTTTGATATTTTTGGCTCAAGTCAGATGGGCACATGGTCACAAACATGAATTCATCTTCAAAGAGGGCTGGAACCAATCCAGATCTGTTTCTTGGCAGCTGTATGACTCAGAAATGTGTAAGAGACATGTACATGTCTGTGATGAGTCCATGCTTGTATGGCTATAGGCCTTTCAAGTTCTATGTGTGCATGTGTGAGGTTATAATTAGCTCCGGACCGTGGACCTAATAGAAATCAGGTCCTGCAAGAAGAACACCCTACCTGCTTAAAAGCTCCTAACAAATCCTCTACTGCATAGTTGAAGGCCACAATGTACACATGTAGTGTTAAATCTACAGTGTAGTGCACCCACCCAGTGTGAGCGTAATGTCTCACCTGAATGCAGCCAGGTATTCTGCATCGCCCATGGGAGGTTCCAGTCCTCCAGTAAAGGCCATGTTGACTGTGAATCCTACACCTGCTCCACTGCCCACCTACAATGCATGAACACACTCAACTCAAGTTTGTCATGCATGAATTCAGACAAATATGCTGGTGGGCAAGCAGACAGGCCTTCCCACCTCATCAGGTGCCCCACTGCCTGGGAAGAAGTTTCCATCATCGTAGCGATGCAGTGACAGGTAGAGAACGCTGGGGTCGGTGTAAAAGGCCTGCTGGGTACCATTACCGTGGTGAACATCCTGGAAACATCAGACAAGGAAAGATTAGGGCAAAATCCTATAGTAGCAACATTAACCTAGACATTTACTGTATTGCTAAAACAACCACCTCAACACTACACATATTATAGAAGCTGCCTTGCCACAAAAAGTACATCAGTTGACTTGGAAAGTGAATGAGTGTCACAGAGGCAGGGCCTCTGCACTACGCACCTGCACTACGACTAACAAAATCACACTCAGTCTGTGTGTCCTCTGTAGCCTGTCGTGATGTCAAAAAGGGAAGTTTGGCGGGATTCAATAAAACATTTAACGTCAATAGTCACTCACCAACAACATGACACCAATTAAATGAGCTCATTGTCTTTAACCCAAGAATGCTTTAATACACTGACCCTAAAAACATCCCTGCTGGCTGGTATGACTGTGTTTGCTTGCTGTAACAGACAGTGAGGAAATGAAAAAGCCCTTCAAAGACTTTTGGGGAAGGCCATGACTAGCCAGGGACAGCCCTGAAAACCTGGACCAAGGCTTTATCATTCCCTCCTTTATCAACAGCAGATCTTTCGAGTCCTTTTCCTCTTACACAAGTACAGTATATAGGGTTTTGGATGCTGTTGACCCGTTGGTCTGATGGGAATATATTCTTGGATTTAAATGTTTATTTTATTAGCCCGCTGACTCCTTTCTAAAGTACAGTATAAAACTACCGAAAATACACAACACAAACAAGCGGTTCGAATGTCACCATAACAAACCCCACAGGTCAAGTGAAAACAGTAACCACACTATGCCAAAAGGTCGAGTGGGGGCGGCCATGTTTATTACCCCTCATCTTGCAAAAACACTGGACAAAACAGATGACGCAATGACAAATTTGATGTTTTTATAGACAGAGATTCATTACAGTCCTAAAGGTCTGTGTGGGACTCACCCAGTCTACGATGAGGATTTTACTGACATTGAGCCTCTGCTGCAGGAGCTTGGCTGCTATGGCGACTGAGTTGAAATAACAAAAACCCCTGAGAATGGACATGGAGAGAGAAGACGGTAACAAGGCCATGCTATTCACTTTCTGATATGAAAAATTTACAAGCCGGAGCAATAATGTACTTAAACACAGTCATGACACATTAAAACCAATAGCAACATAATGATTTCTATTTTGCAGAAACTGAAAAGAAGCATTAATATGTGTATATACACAGGAATAATACAACAGGAATATTAACAAAATTCAAGATGTCTAAAAAGATGAGGCTAGCAAAGCTTTTTAAGAGATGTGAGGGAGGAGGGAGTGTAATAACAATATAAGTACCGTACTGAAGGGAACAGTTTGATTTTGAAAACATGGCTTGATGATTTTGGTTTCCATTTACTGCTGTTGTGTCATTTTGTTCTGAACAAATTTTACAATGTGGTTTAGTGTTCCCATAATCTTTTTGAGCAGTATAGTTGCTATGATACAGGCCAGATCCGATTTTTACTTACATAGGCGTGCTCTCCTCAGCGTGGTGTCCAGGTGGTCGAACTATAGCAAAACCGTTCTGTCGGGGAGAACAGAAGTCATTCACCCACACAACACATTACACACAGTTACACTGGTTTGTTGGTTGTGTCTGAGCATAAACCTGCTCACTTCTGTTTAATGATATTTTCTTTCGCCGTTTCTTTCTTTCGAGTGTCAGACGACGTTCTTTTCTGCTGTCACATATCCACTCCAACACACCAAAATGCATACATTTGCCCAGCCCTTCATAAATTTAATGTCAAGATTGGGTTGTACAACAAAGACAGCATAATAAAAACACTACAAATTCATGCAGTCAAATAAAACTAAATTAATTTAAGCCCATGGTCCCTCTTTTGCATCAGTCAATACTCAACTTAATCCTCTAACAAATATTCTCCTCCAAAAATGGCACCCTGCCTTATTTCTAACATTTCTCACAGGTAGAGTAAATCAAAAGTGAACACACACACACACACACACACACACACACACACACTCAGAGAGAGAAAAACAGATGCATTCATATGGTCACTTAAGGGGAGCTTTGTTATGGCAGGGACCTGCAGGACACCCACCAAGTGCTTCTGGGGCTCCCATTGCTATGTGGGGACATTAGATAGATGTTGGGGCTGATGTAACGTGATGGAAGCTGGACTAATGATGTTGAGTCAGCTGCTGTGGATTAGCAGCCAGCTGGAAGATAACTGTAGAGACAACTGCTTCAGCTGGTTTAAGGACACCTAGTTAAAGCAGGCTGCATTATACAATGCATGTAGTTTTATGAGAGACAGAGCATATTTATCTATGCAGAGCAAAAATATCTATGGATAAAAATAGACATGAGGAGAGAAATGGAAACAGCAGATGGAGAAAGAAATGTGTGCACCTTGAGTAGATTTATGGCATTCTGTGGCATTTAGAGGGTTGATGGCTATGTACAAGCATGTACACATACATGTGCATGCACAGTACAGTATATGTACCTGTGAACTTTAGCCACGGTTGGAACTAATCCACATCAACCATGTTCAACCTTCTTGCCCCTTTTCCTCACGGGGTGCCTAAAACTTTTGATTCTCATTTTAAGCTGTGATATTATCAACCACATGGTAAGCTACAAAGAAAAAGAAGACCACTGTTTCTTCATAGCAAACTGATGCCCACATGTAGTACAGGACACTAGTACACACAACTAAAAACCATGTGACAGCTCTGTGTGCTACCGACTGGAATGTCATTAGTCTGTGGTATGTTGGTGCTAAGCTAACGCTAAGTGTGACGGCTCCTCTGCAGGTGGCTATGGTGAAATACTAATAAAGCAGAGCTGTCAGTTGGGACTGTTAGCATTTGCAGTGCCCATGCGGCAGACCTCCCTGCTGGGATCAAACAGTAGCAGCCGTCACCACAGACACAGGAAGGCTGGCTGGTGGGCAAGGCATGACAGGGGTAACTACATCTGTCTGGGAGGTGGTAACGAGCCTTTGGAATAGACGGTTGTGGAAGGAGGTTTTCTCTAGGTGTTTGAAGGATGAATGTATTAACCCATAGTGTTCTGCATAAGATTTTATTCATCTGTTAACAAAAGTCTCACAGACACATTTACATAATCGCGTATTGTCTCTGTAAAGATATGTGGCTGTCTGAAATGTAATTCAGCTGGGAAATAGAACTACAAAGTCAAACTTGACAAGGAGGCTAAAATCAAACCGTTCAAAGTTCTGGACATGTGTTTATTTTGGTCCATCTGAGTTTTATTTCAGGTTGGCTCCATGTTAACAGTTATTAAATGCACACGCACAGACTCAGCCACACATAAATGCCACGCAGACATGACAAACACAAAAAATCCTTCAGTCACTGCAGTCCCTAAAACTATATTGTAGCCCCATTAAACAGCCATGGCTCTCATTTGACTCCACAGAGCATCCGAGCTAACCTTCAGTTCTCCTGATGCTACTTTGAAGACCAGCTCCACCACAGAGCCAACAGCCAGACGAGCTGCACTGGATGAATGCACCTCATTCCAAATGGTGTCACTGTCCACCTGCCAACACACACACAGACACACAGGCAGTCATGAGCTTTTTAGATCACATTGTTTTAAAAAGAACCAGAAAATATGCAACACTGTACTCTTTTCTATTTATTTAGGAGTTCAGGGATATTTGGTGGTGTGGTTTACTACACTTCACTCATAAAACAACAGAGAGATAAACTACAAGGCAGTAAGAATTATTTAGAAGCTTAACAACACAGACAAACAGTCAGACTGCACATATAGACTTTCTGAAGATCTATTTTAGGATCAGAAGTAGGTGGAGACTGTAACTCTGCTGTAACTGTTTATCAAAAGGTTTGAAGTGAAATAAAAGGAAAACATTTCTTTTAGTTCACTATGGTTGAAGGTACTGTCATTAATTACAATTTAATATATGTTAATTTTAAGGTTGCAGCTAATGTGTTGGCAAATCAACATGTATTAAACTTTACTGACCCTTTAGATATGATGTGTTTAAATCCTGGATAAAAATCTGGAAATGCACAATGACCAGATTTAAAGATACTGGACTGAAATATTGACTATTGGCACTTTACTGCTGATTTACTACTAATTTAACACAAACAAACGTTACAGGACAAAGAAATCTGAAAACTCTGTATGGGAAACAAAATGAAAGTAAAACTCAAAAGATTTTGATGGATCAAAGTGGAGCAGAGCTAGCAGCCGTACTGCACTCATTTATTAATTTGATTGATTATACTGTAGCATAGCGTGTGCATGTGTGTGTGTGTGTATTTGAGTACGTTCCGACAGTGTGGTCAAGCCTGATTTATGCTAAGGCACAGACGGCCCTTGGCCCCAATCACAACAGTCCATCCGCACACATATACACACATGCATACAAGTCAAATGGACCACAATATTCTATGCCTGATTGTACGCAGGGCCGTGCACAGGATAATATACACATCCTCCATTAGGCGTGGCAGATACTGCAGGCAGATGGAGCACATGATAAACAGAGGGAGAAGAAGCTGGCAGAGGAAAAGAAGAAAAGGGAGGTCTGTGTGTCAGTGTGTTTGAACTGTACACACGTGTGGAGCGGACGGTGCCAGAATTCTAGCGAGGCTTTCTTATGTAAACCTGGGGCTCTTCTACTTTAAATCTGTTAACTTACTCCTGCCAGTCACCCACTCTGTCAGACTTGCGGCCTTTCAGTCAGTCAACTGGCTGAGTGGTATATTAACCCTTACCACCCATTCAGCCCCTCACTCCTTCAACCAGTCAGTATGTTAAGTAACTTGACAGCCTTTCAGCCAGCCAGCCCACTTTCCTCTCGTCTCAAGCGATGGGAGTAATCAAGGCCAGAGGAGGACTCCATAATAACATCCACAGGGAAGAGAAAGTGTTCTTTTTAAGTCGTGCCAAAAAAGACTTTGTCATGAAATAAAACTGTGGAGACTAAAAAAAAAAACTAAACTAAACTAAAAAGCAGGGAGTGAAAAGGTATAGAGAACGTTCTTGAGTGAGTGATAGGATCGAATGTGAAGAGAGAGAAACAGGTAGTAAGTGCAAGTATGTAGCAGCAGAGCCAGTGACTGAGTGAGCGAGCAAACAAAGAGCCAAAGGAGTGAGCAAATGGGAAACTGAATCATATATACAAGTCAGGTTAAAGAGCACAAACAGATGCTCTTCTAAAGCAGCATGTGGAGAACGAGCGGTTTATTATTTCCCATGTTGATGTTAGTTTTACCTCAAGCCAGGAGTGGCACATGAGCTTGTTGGGAAACAGTGAAAGTGAAGCAACTGTGCGTGTGTGTCAGAGGTAAAAAAGTGCGGGAACATGCTGGTATGAGGGAATCATGGGTCTTCACAGGCTGACAGCCTAATTTCAGCCTCCTTCCTCTGGAAGTATGTGTGCACTTGTGTAACCTTTATGTGTGTGTATGACAGGAAGACAATAATTTACTCTTATTTGCCATTATAAAGAGCAGAATAGAGCAGTGCAAGGCAGTGGCTCTTCTGGTCCCCAGTACAGCGGCAACAGTTAGCCCCCCGAGCTGGGAGAAGGAGGGAGAGAGACAGTCTGGAGGCATGGAGGACGTAGGAAAGAGCTCTAGAACGAGCAAGTAAAGGGCTATGTAGGCATATGAGTGAGAGAGTGAGTGATTGTGTGCTGGGCTGGCCTCTGGAAATCCTCAGCATGTGAAGAAAAACCTCACATACACACAAACACAGGCGTGCACACATTCACACACAGGTGTTCTAACATATCTGTTTCCAAAGACAGCACTCCCAACTATCTAAATCATTGCCTTAGCACACAAACATCCCCAAACACACTGCTATGCACACAAACAAAAACATACCCCCCACCATACCAGTGCGCACCCACACACACACCTCGTATGCTGAAAACATCTGGTTATAATTACAAACACAGCGGAAAGGCAAGCAACAGCTTTTGTTGCCTCTGGTCCTCGAGGAGCGGTGTTTGTATGTGTGCGTGCAAGTGTGCTGAGATAGAGTGTGCATGTTTGTTTGGTGGAACAAGAACAAATGGGACCATTATTTAGGCAGGGGGCAGAGAGAGAGTGGGCGAAGGAAACAGTTATTATACTATTTGAGGATGCTGAAACTATGCTGATTTGTTTCATTATTAAGTCAGGTGGAGCGCTGCCAGTTGGGTATTGATTAGATTAACACAGGCTTGTAAACCAAGCAGTCTATTACAACAGTTTTCCACTGAATAAAACAGCATGACTAACGCCGATCATTTCCAAGAAATATCAAGTGCACAAATTACAAACATTTAATTAGGCTGTGGAAATGTGTCAAAAGACTTGTCTGCAGTTAGAAGATTCATGGACAGACAAAAGGGAACTTACCCCTATGCCTCCACATGGTAACCTCACAAACATGGGACTCACTGAACCTGGGAAAGAAGGAAAGAAAGTGAGAATTGGAAAATGTCATCAGTGAACTGAGTAAAAGGTTAGGAGGTGAAGAGGTAACACTGTGGATTTTTAGGCACAAAGGGGTGCATGACCCCTGAAACTGAGCATTTGACTTTGTGACCTAATATAACAGCAAGAGTACACAGGGGCATGCTATAATTGGCTGAGGTGAAGAAAATAAAGTATCTCATAGCCCTCACAATCAAAGCCTCACCCTCTCCACGAGGAGTTTTGAGATAGAAAACTGAAATCAATAAACTAGAGATTTCTGACAAAGAAGAAAATAACCAGAAACATGCAGTGGTTGACTAATATAAATTACTATTACCTTTTAAAGACAGAACCTTTTTTTTATTATTTCTACTCAAATGCCACACAAACACTTGTATATTTCCTTCTATCTGCAGAAGTTACTCAGTCTCTAACCAATATTTAACCTTGTATCTACAAATACTTTAATCCCTGACTGGTTACTACCTTTGTGGTTTTATAACTGTTGGCACTTTCATTTGCCTCCTCTCCATTTTTCCAAAGTGTATATAAGCCCACCTGTGTGCTGTACCTTAGACAGGAGCATCTGAACACAGTAATAATAAAGGGGAATTTATGTTTCCACTGGAATGGAAACTAAGATGGTCACTGGGGGTTGCTTCCTAGGTTTTAGCACTTACACTCACACATACACACACACACACACACACACAGAGAGGCTGCCTTGACTACAACTTTAAGCCACACAGCTCAGACATACAGCTTCAGCAGGTCCTCATCTTATCTTTACACCAACACTTTATGCAACTGGACCTTTTGTTTTGACACAGTTTAAGCATTCAAGCTGATTCCTTTACCAGACATGGCCGATTCATGGTCACTCACATGTGGGGCTAGTGGAGACTTTAGTCTTCTCAAAGTTACTGAATACTTACTATTACATGTATACTTGTAAATTTGATATGTACAGTGTGTTACCTCTGATTTGCACTGTGCAATGAATCTTTGGCCTAAATGAGCTTGTAGCAAGTGTGTCACGTACTGTGAAACAGCAGTCATTCATTTCAGCTTTCATCGTTTAAAGTGTGGAATAAGTGTGTTTTGTCAGTGTCTGTATGTGCGCATATGACCTACAGTCTAGTTTCTGCCGGAGAGGGTTAGTTCCGTACAATAAGACGTGGGCTTCAGAGTGGACTGTTTGTAACTCCTCTAGTGAGGCCTTCCTCCCACGGATACACTGCATACAACAGAATAGAGAGAATGAGAGATACAGAAACAGAACAAGTCTCCGTGCTCACTACACAACAGGGCAGTGAACAACTACTTTTATGCAGCAATGTGTGAAGTTCAGTCTGCAAACCAGAATACAGAAGGGAAAACCAACTGTGGATCAGGTAAATCCTGGAATCAAAACAAATGGCTGAACACTGCCCCCTTCTGGTCAGAACAAAATGCACTTAAAATTAATCTTGGGGACAAACGTGAAATTTGAAACAGTTTAAGATCCTGAAATGACTAAATAGTAAAGAAACAACAATACATACTGTAAATTTGAAACAGTTTAAGATCCTGAAACAACAATACATACTGAAACACCGACATTGCTGATATATTAATGATTTAATTGCCAATTGTAACATTGCGCATAACTGAAGTGGACAGTTTTTGATACTTGACAAAACTAGTTTCTTTTTAGAATGTAATTTAATTTAGCATTGTCTAGTTACTTTCTACTGAACAAAAATCAGGCTGTCCAGTTTGCACGTGGAGACTGTCAATACAAAACATTACAAACATCAGTCACTCTGTCTACTGAGCTCTGTTTCTTTGTAAGTCATTAATAGTTCATTTCTCCATCCAATCATAAGACTATGCCTTGTGTTGAGGTGCCACTTTGGCCTTACCTCACAGTGCGACCTGAGGCCTGTTTCCTGTAGTCGTGACCAGATACTCTGGATGCGGCCAGCATGCTCTGGATGACTGGTGCTGTTACCACACATACACTGGTGCTTCTGCATCAATGAGTCATATACCAGACCTAGCAAATACACACACAATAACAGCAAAATCACACATGCACACGCACAAAAACAACATATAGGTGATGATGTATCTTTGACTAAAAGTACAGAAACAGCTGTCACAACAGGATTCCTATATTCACACAGTAAAACAGTGTCGTATAATTGTCTACTACATCTGCTTCATCATCAGCAGGTCATGTGATGAGGGTCCAGTGAGCTGAGATGAGCTGATGTGATCCTGACCAGTACATTACACCTGTAGAGGTTTATATTGTCAGAGGGCCCAGAAAACCTACAGCAGCAACAACCCTGTGCGTAAACACAGCCGCTGTATGTCATCAACATCAACTCATCCACTGTGTTTCTTCTAACCTGCATTAAAGATGATGAAAGTGTGTTTCTAGATTACTGAATGCTGCTCCAGTTCGTAATGGATTTATGTGTTAGAGCAATAACAGATGAAAAGGAGCATATTATATTTAGCCGCAGTGTGTGAGAGAGACTGCTATTATGTTGACTCTCAGCAGACCTGTAGTAAACCGAGGTTTGGCAGGTGGCTCCTGAGCCACCATGGGGAAGGAAGCGGAGGCTGGAGACGACTGAGCCCTGGAGAGGGGGCGGTGTCCAGCAAAGCTGACCGATAGCCCAGCTGCTTCCATGGAGGCTTGGTAGTTCCTCAACTGGTGGATCCGTTGCTGCTCTAACAGCAGAGCCTGCTGCTCTCACAAACAAACACACACATACATACACACACACACACACACACACACACACACACACACACACACACAGTAGCACGTTCTCTGTGACAATTGGATCGCAATATCATTCTGTTACCAGAAGGTGGCACTATGTATTTGCCAAATTTAAGCTACTACAATATACAATATAGAGCACACAGACTGCACTGGAGTTTATAGCATATGGCATTGTGACATACTGCTGTATAGGGTTCAGATGACAACACCACTTATTTCAAAACATGGTAGCAATACAGAGGAAATCTATGTCATTTTTTTGAATGAGGAGGTTGGTTATTAACCCTGAACTCCACGTGAACCGTTGAAAGGACTCCTCTTACATCTGTTTGGCAAAGATAATGGTTTCTATTAATCTAAAACCACTTTCAGCTTGGCATACTGATTATTCCCTTCATGTGATTATAAATGAAGTTGTTTCAAACAGCACACTAATAGGTCCCATCAAACTGCTTACAAAACCACAAGCAAAGTGAGAATTCTGTGAGGCTTTGGAGCATGTGCTAATTAATCATCCTATTTAAAAGTGTCTCTTGTAAGTGTTTGAAAAGCACCTGTATGTACTAGAGATAAATATTTGGGTGTTCTTTCCTCTCAAAAGACACTCACCAAGCTATCCTTTTATTATGTTCTGATGGGCATGTCTGCTTACACTTTGGGCGCCATGGCGACAGGGTGAGGAACGCCTGATTGAATTTGCCTGAGCAGACAACAGGGATGGGCTAAACAGATGAGGACATAGTGTCCTGATTGTGCACTGGTGTGCGTTTGTGTGGCCTCCGATAAACCGTGACTCATACAGACACAGAGAACATATGTTGTATGCATCCATTGGAAAACCAATGTAAAATTAGAGACTGTGTGCAACACAGAGTTGTTGTGTGGGTGTACACTAGGTATTTTGAAAGCTTGCATGTCAATATCCATATGGAGTCGTACTGTGTAGGGAGTAGTGTGGAGGAGGTGTACACACTCTAATCTATCCACAAAACACACAGTATTCTGCATTTATAGCAAATGTGCAGTGTGTGTAAGTTTACTTTGCATGACTTGGGAAAAAATGTAAATATAGCTTAAATTATTTCAGAAAGTGGGCTGGACAGTCAGTGGGGAAAACAGGCAGAATGTAGAGTGTAATGTTTCAGTCAGTCACTCCGTGACTGCTTTTATCGATTTGCCTTAAAACATTCACAACAAAATGTAAGTGTCCAGTGCAAAACAATCCTCCTTAGTGGTAGTTATAGTTAGTTTGAACCTGAATGCATATATGTGATGAGATAATGGAACAGATGACATCTGATATGAATGCACGCAAGTATACAATTTGCAAACAGATCAGTTTCATCTTCTTTGTTTATATTTTTACTCTGGAATTTCTGAAAAGCAAACTGAACTTGGGGAACCTGCATTTAAACTATTGTCACACTTCATCAGTCTCGAGTTTCCATCATTCGCTTTGTATCCTCACCTTCTTTTCTCATCCTATCGCTGTATCATTTTTCCACGTCTTTCTTACCTGCCTATTCTTCTACTTCCACTTCCACCTGCACCTGTCATTCACTTCCTCACCTGTCTGAACAGGAAGTCCTGCTCAGCTTGTCTCTCTCTCTGCTCACTGTCTTCCTGCTCCTGGGCATCTGGGGGCTCCTGCTTGATGACCAGCCCCCGTAGCGCCCCTGTCTCCTGCGCAGAGGTAGAGGAGGATGAGGATGAGGAGGACAGCCCCTGGTGTTCCCTGAGCTCCTCTTCTGTCTCCTCTGGGTGACTCTGGTGCTGCCTGGCTGGCCCTGAGGTGCTGGAGCCTGCAGCTGAGACCTGATCACTGGGCTTGGACATTATCTAAAGAACAAAAAGAAAAGGACAGATGAGAGGTTTTACAGAGCAATGGTATGATTTGGTTCTGATTTCCACTGGGTCATGGGTTAAAACACACAAAATCATGAAAAACTTTAGGATTTTACTAAAGCGTCAGCCAAATATCATGCCAGTTCAGTTAAGGACTGTACTGGTATGACATAGAGAGGTGATGGCAAGCTACAACAAAGAACCAGTCATCACAAGCAAAAAACTGCATAGAGAAACATGAAAAACATTAGACACTATGTGTGTATCTGAAGTTGAAATAATGCCTTTTTGGTTTGTTTTTTTTTCATAAAGAAAAGACAAAAACAATAAATCTTGAATTTATTTAGGGGAACAGGAGACAAAACGAGAACAGAAGGGAGGAGAAAGATGCCAGACAACTTGGACCCCTTACGTGTTGGTTCGCTGAAGATGTTTTTCATTCCAAAAATAGCTGAGTGACTGGTTCAAGTATAATAACAGTGTAAAAGCCAGGCACACTTTGTACACATGGAGATAAACTGAACCTGTAATCCGCTCACTCGTTGGTTATTTATTTGTTTTATAACTCCTCTAAAATTCTCTTTGACTCTTTGTAATTCCTAACGCTCTGTGCTCATGGCGCCTGAGCCGGTGAAAGGGAAGAAAAACTGAGCAAAGGACATGAGGGAGAAAGAGAGGAAGAATTGGAGAGGGGTGTTGTGGCAGCTGTCCCTGTCTCTGTCATCAAAGACCTCAACCTTGATGTGCAGGTCATGATTGGAGGGGACCACTGATTGTGCACTGAACACACACACAGACAAAAAGACACACATGCACACTTGGCTGGCATATCGCCCAGGGAACAGTCCATTGACGTCAAAGAACAATCTCTTGCCTCATCCCAGTCCCCCTTCTCCAAACAAACTCAAAACACTCATCCAGGCCTGCTGCGCTGATTTTCACTCTCACCCTTTCTCTCCTGTTTTGCCCTCTTTCTCTCTTTCTCTCCCATTTTTGCTGGTATATGAAATTTAAAGGGGACAGAAGCCATATAAGCCTGTTGAGTCTGTTGGAAGAGAGCAGAAAGTGGAGGAAAGGTGCTTGTATACACAAACACTTGACACTGTGTTGACTTTATGTATCTCTCTCACACACTTTCACAACAATATTAGGATATTAGGTAAGTGAGTATGTCATAGTGTTTGCTTGGTTGTCTCAGGTAATTAATGGCAGGCGGTAGACTCAAGTTGGAACAGTTTCAAGTCTTTCATTCCTTTCTTTGCTGTCAACATGTCTAACTATTGAAGCAAAACCTTTGCAGGAAGGGCCTCTTTCATTGCTGTCTTCACTAAAAATGACAATAAAGAAAAGAACGAAGGCCACAAATGACTCATGTTGTACAAAGTGGTGGGTCTTCATTGGCGACTAGGGTAAATTAATACAACTCCACATAATGTTCTGCCTTCTTCGATGGGCAGTGAAGGAGCAAAACAAAGGCAATGCAAACTGGGGATATGCAATCGATTTGCATTAAACTCTGCAAAAATGGGGTGAACATGGATTTAAATGCAACTGGAGCACTGTACCTTAATATCAGAAAAACATGTAATCAACTCTAAAAAAGCATCATAAAGAGGGACCAAATCTAGATTAAGGTTAACTGTAGATACCTAAAATGAAATGCCGCTATCTTTCTTTCATTTGTTTTTTAAATTGTATTTGTATAGTGTCAATTCCTAACAAACACATAATCTCAAGGCACGTTACATCATAAGGTCTAGACCTTGCAGTGTAATAAAGAATAACCCAGCAAATGCCCCCTTGAGCAATAAGGGACTCGGTGACAATGGAGAGGAAACAGGTTTGAGCAGCTGTTGGTGATTTCACCGCTACCATAGCTGCAAAGATGTCAAACCACAAATAAATGTCACTAATAAAAATAGTAAGCTCTGTCACCTCACAGCAACTAGGTTCAGGGTTCAAGTCCAGACGGAGCCTTTTTGTGTGGACTTTGCATGCTGTGGGTTTCCTCTTGGTACTCCACTTCCCCCCATAGTCCAAGGGCATTGCAGGTTACAATGACTGGTGACTTTAAAATGGCCATAGGTGTGAATGTGAGTGGTTGTTTGTCTCTGTGTGTCAGCCCTGTGATTAACTGGTGACATGACTAGGGTGTACCCCACCTCTCACCTCTCTTTTAAATGTTAAAAAAAAATCTGCAAATATTTTGAGCATATCTGTGACACTATTACACAGCTCACTCCAGCAGAGTTAATCTTGCTTTATCACAAATTTCTGTTTTTGATAAGTAGGCTAATACAAATGCTTGGATTTGGATGCTCCAGTTAATTATGTCTTTCCATATCAACAACTTAATCTTGTAATTGAATTTAACTAAACACCTGTTAAAAGCTGATTTTAACTTTTAATTTGTTTTTGTAGTGGACTGTGTTTATGAGTGAAGTCCAGTTTGTCTACCGTTGCATTGACATTAATGCATCAAATGCACCTTAATGCAGTGACAATGTATAAAAAGAATTAGACAGGGATGCACTCTGGACAGGCTGCCACTCTGTCACGGGGCTGATACACATGCTATGCAGATAAACATATAGTAGTGACACATATAAGCAATGTAGGAGGAAAACAGAGTGGCTGCAGGAAGCCTCACCAACATAGGGAGTCTGTGTGCAAAGTACAGAGACACCTCAGGCGGCTGGCAGGTTCAAAACCAGCATCTTAATACAGTGAGACACATGGGCTAACCACTTAGCCACCATGCCACCCTCATATTCAAAAATAAATTACAGACAAAGAAAACTATCTAGATTTATGCAGTTTAATGCAAAAGGTAGAACACAGGCTTGTGCATTCATATTGTTACATAACATTAGCAATGCAGATTGAGGAGTTTATTTTTAACTGCTAAAAAAATGTTATGGATAGGAATGAGAATGACATCAACTGCAGCTACAGTACACATTTTCATACTTGTTCCAAATGTATGAATTCAGAAAGGTCACATCTCATAATCTATGGCATTGTTCTGTTGTAAAGTGAAATGTTCGTACAGTCCTAGTGACCCTAACAGAACCTTGGAACATGGGATGCTGGGATGCTGTCAAACAGATTTAATGAGCACACAGTGGTAGTGATTCTGATGGTGACTTTACACATGCAGTTTACATTTCCAGACATTATAAACCTTTGGTTTGACTAAAATGTATTAAAGCAGTCATTGTTTGAAAAAGGGCCAAAGTATATCTCCATGTAGCCTGTGAATATATCCTTTACCCATGCGATGTTGAGCTTGTGGTCATTGTGCGCTCTGTGCCTCAGGCAGATTGCGTAATATCTTCAAATTCAACTTTACACAAAAATTTGGGCACAATAAAAAACATTACTACATACTTGATAAGCCAACATGACTTGACTGAACATCTCTGCATTAGCTGCTGTGGAAGTGTGTTGCACACCAATGTACTGTGTTATCTGGTTATTACCCAACCTTACTATACATGGAACACCTGCCTTTAATGTCTTAATTAAGATGCAATCTACAGGCAGTGTTCTCACACCTGATTAGTAGAAGTACAAGTACCCTTTTTGAGTTTGCTAATATTCCTCAATCATTAACGGTTTTCTGTGCATCTTAAATTAGAAATGAGGTGCTTGTATTTAAGAAAATATATTATGATTATAAAAGAATCAAATGCAATTTGTTTTTTATATAGGCCATGAAAACTCATTCTCATTTTCAGCATCACATAATACTACACAAAAATAACCTGGTCTTACACCTGAGCTTAACTTAATTAGCTGGACTCACAACAACCTGGAGTTTAGAAGCAGAGGGAGTCACCAACAGCCAAACAACTCAGACATAATGGAGCTTAATCCTACAGGAACTTCAGCACACGCGCACACATGCATGCACACACACATACACACAGGGATGAACATTACAAACACAAACAACTGTCTCCCTCTCCACAGTGACCTAATAATGCTGCAATTCCCTTCATCACCTTGCGCACACACATACACACACATCCACACACACCTACAACAATGTAGTGAGTCACATTTCCTGTGTGACCATATATGGAGGCAACTTCCTCTAGAACTCAGTTGCCAGGGTGACAGGGAGAAGTAAGGACACATGAACACAGACAAGACCGACTTGATGATTTCAGGCTGATTCATCCTGCTCTTAGAGCAAACACAGAATTCACAGGCATGAACCAAACAGGTGTCATGTAGATGAACAAATACTGCTACACACATACAGACTCAAACACTGTACACTTGTACACACATGCACATACAGTATATAATGCTGGCTACACTGCCACAACTGTTTAAATGATGCTTTTGATCCAGTCACACATACATATATGGTACCAACACACACACACACACACACACACACACACACACACACACACACACACACAGATAGC